TTTTTTTTTTTTTTTTTTTTTTTTTTTTTTTTTTTTTTTTTTTTATTATTGCTCTGCTTTAATTTAGTACAAGTCAAAGAACTCAAACGGATTATATAGTAAGCATAGAAAATTACGTTGGTTTCACTTTTAAGTGTTTTTTTTTTTTTTTTTAAGTTTTTGTTTACTTTCATCTACTTCTGTAGATTCTGCTGTAACGATAAAAGGCCTTCTGCTTTTCTGCTCGTTTACCAAAGTAAAGCTGCTCTCATGAAAAGTTTCGAGGGTAGTTATGTGTTTCTTTTGCTAAGTCGTGCATATATATACTGTAAAATTTTTGCATCGCATATCATATCCAACGTGCGCTAACGTGCGTAAGCTAAAAAGTATTGAAATTGAAAATTGATGATATTTTTTTTTTTTTGGTTTCGAAAATGTCTCGCTATTTTAGAATTTCTTTGTGTTTTCTTCATTAAATTGCGATCCATGGGTCCGTAGATCGCAAATTATCGACAGTGATTAGAGAGTTTCTCCAGAGATGGTATCAACTTGTACCTATACAAAAGGGTGATATATGTACGATCAGCAAAAAAGCCTAACTACCAGGCATTTTAAATATCGTTGTTTTACATAACCTAAATATTTTTGATCAGAAAATTCATCGAACATGCTTCTTGGGCAAGTTGTGCAAAGTCTTTTTCATCGATCTATCTATCTATGCGTGTATTTTTCTTGCAAGTTGCACTCTCTCCCCTGGTTACGTATTCCTTCGTATTCCATTTCATTCGGCGGCTTACTACACAAGTATGGAAATAAAATAAAAGTATAAAGTATTTGAGGTGTCATCTTTTCATCAAAGAAAAGCCATCGTCGATTCGGTGGGTTTATCCTTCCTTTATCGAGCATCAGTTTGTAGACAACTGTATGCAACGGGTCGTTAAGCTTTATCTTGTAAAAATTTCACCTTTTAATTTTTTTTTGTATACCGACAATTGTTTTTACGCGTTAACTGAAATCCAGATTGATATGCTGCGGTTCACATAATCGCACACTTACGATGTTCATAGAAGAACCAAAAGGCTTAACACTTTTTATGTATCAATATTTAAACAAATATATTAGTTTTGTTAGAGCATATTTCTGTTGGTATGTGTGTGTTTGTGTGTGTGTGTGTGTGTGTGTGTGTATGTGTGTGTGTGTGTTTGTGTAGGTATATGTATGCTTTTCTAATCTGTCCAAGCTTGTTATGTCTCTTTATTATTTACTTTCAAAAGTCTCTGTGCTTTACACTGATTTAACATGGCACACTGTCTCGCTATATGGACGAACACTAAGTCCGTCTTTTATCTGAACAGAAATGCTGGAGACAGAGTGAGAGCAAAAAAAAGGAATTGTTTTCTCTGGTTTTCGTTAGATTGAATTTGCAATTACTAGTAAAGTTTATCCGTAGATTCGACGGCAATTAACGTTAGTCTGAAAATTTCAAAATTACTCCTCAAGATTGGTTGTGTTGTTTGGCAAAATCGTATATGAGTCGCCGCGTTTAAATTTTTGTGTGCAATATGTGTATTTTACCTTCAAGGATCAATATATCGTAGTGATGAATAAAATGCTCCATATATACGTGCTATATATGTACGCTCTAGAAATACAAAATACATATTTAAACATATATGAGCGGTTCTGTCGTAAAAGTGTCTTAATAGTGAAGCGGAAGAGAATATTGCCGCATAAATAGTATGACAGTATGTTCATTGTGCTGTTAATATTTTTTATAAAAAAAAAAATAAATAAATAAAATAAAAATAAAAAAAATAGTTTTACAAAGAATTCTTTACACCAATAAGAACATTGTAGCCGGAAAAGATCGACCAGTAAATACTCCCCAACATGTCGCCTAACATGAGTTCTTCATTTATTTTCGTCATAAAATACCCATATACTATACCTATATCTTTAGCCCGAAAAATAGACCGATCCTGTCCAAATTTGATGCAGTTAACGTTTACGTCAATTTAATTCATTAGAGACCAATATTCACGATTGATAGATTGTCTTTTTCTAAACTGCAAAGAACTACTTTTCGTACCGGTGTCTATATTAAGAGAGACTTGAAAAAAAATTGCCGCATCCGATCCAAATTTTACATGAAAATAATACAAATAATTGCATTTAGTTATTACATAGGACGTTAATTAGAGCATGATGATATAGCGGGTGCCATTTAATTCATTTTTAATCGTGATCATTCTTGGACCAAAATACGTCGTCAGTCTTACAAATTTTATGAAAATACCCGAAAAATTGTGACCTATAGGCTGAACACAAGAAAACATGATAAGAGATCACACTGACAGAAAGTCAGACAGAAGATTAAATCGTTCATTCATAAAATGATTCTGGGTCCGTTCAAGTCTTCGTGACTTTTTGAGATTATTGCACATACGTCCGCATCAATTTAATATACCTAATGCTACAAGTGGCGTAAGATACAAGAACCGCAAAACAAAAAATACGTAAATGGTTTATTTCAACCAACTCATCTAATCCGAACATAATGGAATTTCTTCTTTTTTTTGCTTTCTCATCAGGTTTTCCTTTTTTTTTTTCTTGTTTTTTTTTTTTTTTGTTTGTTTTTTTTTTTGTTTTTTTGTTATGTAGATAAATAACTTACTTTGTAAAGTTGATTTGATGTTGTTCTTTATTGCTTTTTAATTTTGTTTCCAAGTTGATAATTAAGAAAAGTTTGCATTGATATTTATACGGAACTCTTTCCCGTTGCCATGCGTATTTAAAGGAGAGTGAGCGTGGGCCCCTTAAATTACCCTTGAATTTTTACTTGGATTTGTAATAATTGCAAAAAGAGAAAAAGTTATAATTCTATTTATTATGTATGTATATCTCGTTTAGCACTCATTAATATAATAATGTTTAGCTGATGTTATATGCTTTTCGGTGCAAATAGTATTAAACGCGACAGACTATCAATAAAGTTTCGAATACCGAACAACAGGACAAATATAAATTTAAAAAATTGGACGATACATACTTTTCTACATTGTGCATATATCCGCCTGGGTGGCCGAGTAGGCAAGAGTCTCGACTAGCAACTCAGTGGTCGTGGCTTCGAATCTCAAGTGCGGTAGAGTTTTTAATAAAGGCCGATAGCCTTAGATGCTAGTGCTTTTAAGAGTTTAGTCTTAGAATTTATTTCTCTGGCGAAATTAATAATAATAATAATAATAATAATAATAAATACATTGTGCATAATGGATGTCCTCCTATATATATATATATAACACACATATATATATATATAAATACATTTTTATATATAAACTCAAAGAGAGTATGTGGTTTCTAATAAATGAAAGCATATGTGCATATATATATAAGCATATATATATATATATATAAATATATATAGATAGATATAAAAGGATATTTTTTCATATCTTTTTTTTTTTTATTACAGTCATTGCCGTCGATTATTTGTTGTACGCTTAATTAACTGAACAAAGCGACTTTGCAAAAAACCAAAAAAAAAAAGTAGAAGCAGTTTCATATCCGTACACAGATGCTAGCGAAGCGTATATGAATGAACATATTTGCGAGATTATCTTAGCTTGTGCTTATATTCCGTACCTAGTACTACTACTACTACTACTACTACGACTATGCGCGCAAACGAGGACCCATACAAGTAATTGCAGTGAAAATATATTAAGCATGCATGTAACTGACGCCTAACACCATATAACACTTGCCGTTTTCCATCTGTTGTTCCGTTAACTTTGTCAGATACGTGATGACAATATGAAAACCAAGCATAATAGTTGCATTAGTGCTGCTGCTGTTGCTACCGAGGCTGGTGAAAAAATGAAATCCGTAATATTTTATCCTTATGGGCCGTTAACGGGACTCGGATGTTTTCCCAAATTACATGCTAAAAACTTAGCCGCGTCAAGCGCAATATACACAATTGTAAGTATATGTTAATAGTGTAATTGTGAAATGTGACGGAAAAGCCAGGAAAAAAGGAAAAAAATAAGTATGTACTCGTATGCATATATTATATAAGTGCCAACAAATTCATATAGTTTTTCATTTAGCGAATTTGCTCACTAAAATATAAAAAAAAAAAAAAAAAAAAAAATTGGCAAACGCTTTATAGGAATAACTATCGGCAAAATTTTAATCGTGTTAAATGTATTTAAATTCTCTCTTCATATAAATCGAAAATTGACTTAACTGAATTCAAATCTCGGAATTGAGAATTGAAAAGTACAATTTAACTTTTGTGTATAACAACTTTTTTGTAACAAGTAAAAACACATTAGGTGCTGCATGACCCACCATTAAATACCCTACGTCACCCTATAATTGTCCAAATAAGAGTGATCGAAAAATTGGTCCGATTCGAGCCATTTTGAATGACTTTTGTGCTTGACCGAAAACACGTCAGTGCATCATAACACATCAAAATATCTCAAAAAATTTTCGGCCTGTAAAGGTTGAACACAATTAAACCCAGACAAATAGACGGACAGACAAGGTACAATAAAAGGTGCATCTATCTCAAGTCCCTGTCCAGGTTGCACCACAAGTCGGGTAGGGCATAAAAATATAAATATAAATTCATTCCATTCATCAGCTTTATTTGCCTCCTTTAAAGTAACGTATATACAGAATGAAGGAGCTATTTCATCAAAATTCAATCACAATCTTCGGATGAATTGCAATGAAAATTTTTTTATGACTATTACCTACGCTATCATCTAATTTGATTAATAGAATTCCACTGCTTTACTTCTAAAACCATATATTTTTCGAAGCAAGCAAAACTGTAAAATGGTTGATAATATCAATCCCAATTATGCGCATGTGTACGTACCAATAGAATACAACAAGAAAAGATCAAGAACGTACGTAGCCTACGAAATTTGAAACGTCACCTTTTGAGAGAGACCTAGAGCGAAAGAGAGACAGACAGACAGACAAAGAGAGAGAGAGAGAGAGGGAGAGGGAGAGAGGGAGAGAGTGAGAGAGAGTGAGAGAGAGTGAGAGAGAGTGAGTGAGAGAGAGAGAGCGAGAGAGAGAGCGAGAGCTAAAGCGAAAAAGAGAGAGAGAGAGGAAAAGAGAGAGAGAGTTCTAAGGAACGGTAGTTGTGTACTCGCAAATAGCGTCAATCTTCCTCACATATTTCTGCCATCCGTGACCCATTTTTCGGATAGCTCCGCTATCATTCTCTTTAAAATTGGCTCCAGTTCGTTTTTTCTCAGTTCATGTAGTGCTCAAATATGATCTTTCTTTTTCTTTGCACTCAGCCATATACAATGGCAAAGGACCATTCAATGTCAATGCTTAGTTCTACAATGTTGTCATGAAGTACTCTCCACCTTCCACGTAAAAATAGTATGACTTGATGTGGGTAGTGCTACCAAAGTTACAAAATTCGGAAGTGATCTGTTGGGAAATAAGTCTTAATCAAAAATTCATTTCATCATAAATCAGTGCAGCAGATCAATTTTGATACCACCTTTCCTCTCTATCGTCTATTTTGTATCCAGCAGGGTTAGCATATTTGCTGTTATGCCTTAGGCGTATTTTGATCACCCTTCCGATGGAAAGATCCGATAATACGCCTTAGACAGCATGCAATGTAAGCACAACTTAACCCAGCATAAAAGTTTGGAACAATTTAAAGTAGTCTCCAAGAAGCTATAATAAGTTTAAAGTTATATAAAATATATAGAAAAAAAATGTAATTTTATAAACATTTTTCGATCACTCACTCGCCTTCACCAGGCTATCAGATCTTTCCTGCATAGAATCAAAAGTGATCCTTTCATATAACTGAGCTAACTAAAGCTATCGAGTTTATTAAAAAAAAAAAAAAAAAAAAAACGAACAAAGGCAAATTGTTAGTGTAGTGTTTTCATTACAAAATTTTAATTTTACAAATATCTCATAAAACTATTTTACTTAGCGTAGTGTTAAGAGCTTGAAATAATTTTATTACTCGATTAAAAGAGTGCTTAAGGTAAATGAATTCATATTAAACATAATATATATAAGAAAACTTGTCATATGCTTGCAGAACATATCGCTGTTAATTGTGTTAATTTATTCCTGGCGTATAAATGTTAATAAAGCAAGCTCCAGCGATTTGGAAGATGTCTATTATGGTAAGTAAATTTGTTTATTGCAAGATAATAAAAGCTTTTCTTTATACTTAACGGGCGGCCCCCCCCTCGTCCCTCCCCACCCTCTTTTTTTCTTATATCTAATTATATTAACTTATTTTTAAAACTTTTTTTTCTATGTTCTACACCACTTGACTGTCCGTCTGTCTTGTGTTCAACCTACAGACTGAAATTTTTGAGATATATTACTGGCCAACTCTGGGTAGCAAATCCCTGACGCGTTTTGGTCCAAGAACGAACCCTACTGAAAATGGACGAGTAACGTACGCTTTTATAGGCGATCAGTTTATACGGTCAGTAAATTTTGCTTCACGGTGTAGAGATGAGTTATGCGTATCCACTGACAGCCTGGCAGTCGTTCATGCTATTCTTGACCTCAGCAATTACCAGCCTCTCCTCTGTAAGTCGAAACCCGAGAAAAATTAATTCGAAATCCTAACAACCGGAAACTCACGAGGGTGCCTGTCCATTCCAGCTAATGAACTTGCAGACCTCACAACGAAAGAGGCCTCCACTATTCATATCTCCTATCTATATTAAGAAGGACTTAAGCGCTTTCATACAAAGGCATTCTCCGGAACATTGTAAAAAAATTAATCCTTTGAAAAGTAAAGCGACCTATACTAACATACTCACCTTACCCATAGCCATTTAGTGGAAAAGGGGGAAGGACGGCAATGCCGTCTTTGCGGCAATTTAACGTCAACTGTAGATCAGCTGCTAGATGGTACTGAGGTTAGTAAGCTCGTAGCTACATCTACATAAGTGGAGGATAATGCCCGAGAACCTTACAGGGAACATTTAGATTAATTTGGTTCAAAAGCGCAAGCAAGTCATTTTGACCATTCAATAGTAAATTGACCGCAAAGGCTATGTTTACCGGGATTCTACGTTTTACTGGACTCGCCAAGAGTAATCGTTTACGCTCATACGGAGGTAAACTGCAACTTGGTCTCTGTAGGAAGAATTCTTTCCGAACAGATTTGACAGAGTCAATATTTAGTTGTAGCTGGTATTAGGACACAATTTGACCGCTTCTCATGGGTAATTATATCATAAAGAACAGACTCGTCCTTATTTCTGTATTGATTGATCCGATCTAACTAATTATTCGAGCGTGGTATGAATTTTTTATTAAAATAAATTTTATGATAACACATAACGCAATAAATTGAAAGTTTTATAGATTTAAAATGGAAAGTTAGGTAAAAGGGAAAAATATTAAGCGCCTAACAAATGTGAACGCGTGTCCTTAGATTGCCTTGCCCAACTTTCAAAGTATCCTAACACGCTACGAATAAGACGAAAATCGCATCATGTTTAACTTTGTAGTCGACAAGGTAAACTTTTAAATGTAATACACGCTTTCTTTTACTTTACAAAACTTGATCTATCGTTATTGTAAAATACCAACGATATATAAGTCTGACCTTTCGTGGGAACCCGAAACATAGGCTTCCGCGGGATCTATGAAAATACTTAGAAAACTGCAACATCATAACAGAGTAGATATGCTTAAATCGGTTCAGAAAATGATTATTTATGGTTCCTACCTATATACCCACAAAATCATCCCAAGCGGAGTAAGGTGTAACGACATGAAAGTATTTGAGCTGTCTTCAAATTGCAAAATTGACGGGGCGTAGCTCTTTTAGTGGCGTATTCGTAACGATGCATTGAAGGGTTTAACTTATCCTACGGCTTTTGCGCCCATGAAGTGATGGATTGACTGGAAACACTATCTGGCATAATTTTTTTTTTAATATTTCCTCTATGCATGTAACGCGGTACGGCCAGAAAGAAGTGAGGAAGAAGTGGGCGCCGTTGACTAGTTGTTAAATGTTCGCCCTTTACGAGCGAAGCACTCACTGCACCTACGATCAAGGTAAACCCTACTGTGCTTGAGATTTCAATCCGCAGAAATTGACTTGCTAGCCACGGTCCGTCCTTACCTAAGCGGCCATACATGCAGAAGGGCGAGGATGTCGTTCTATTGGTATTCCGATAACGGCGATAAGAATCTAATAACCTAAGAATATAATAATTTAAGAATTTCCGCTTAAAGTACTACAAGAGCCTTATCGTGTATATATATCTTTTCAATTTCAGGGGTACAGATAGCGTATTGTGCTATAATAGGGACGCAAATGTCAATAATCGTTTTGAGTGTGATGTTAATGTTTGGCATTTATAAGGTAAGTTTTATTGGTTTTCTTGCGTTTAAATATACATAGCTGATGTTTACACTAATAAGCAAAAGAATCAATAAGCAATGAAAGTCGTTTATTGTGTAATCAAAATATTTACTTTGGCTTTCATAAATTCTCCGTTATGTGACAAATGATGCAAACAAATTAAGCTGATAAATATGTACTTGTTGTAATCTGTTAAACAATCCGAGTGTATTTAAGCTTTTATTTGTACCGTTTTAATAAAGAATAGATAGATTGTGAAAAGCAACGAAGTAGATAAGCAAAATACGTGTCTTTAATCTCACACTAATAAAAGGGAGGAGAAATGATTATTCATTTTATTCTTTTTTTTTTGTAATTTATATTATGTATCTATCTATGTATTGTGCGGTATTGTTTCCGATTATTTTAGGAAAATCCTGGTTTAATTGTACCTTGGATTATTGGGTATATTACCTTAATGGCATTAGAAGCAGTGGCCATGGTTTACTCAAATGTATTGCGTGATCACGTTAACAAGGTGAGTTATTAGCTATTAGCTTCCTATTCACATGCATTACTTACTCATATATATATTGACAGGTAAATAAATTAAATTTCCTTTCAGTTATTTAAAAAAAAAAAAAAAAAAAAATAGTCAAACTGCGTATAAATAAATGTTCTTCTGTCTATCTATCTATCTATCTATCTAAATATGAAAATATTTTTTTTTTTTTCAATCTCATCTCTCATCATCTTAAAACTAAAAGTTTAATTGCAAGTGTGTGAGCTGATCGAATGGCGGAACATGTTTTCGGATGGTCTGCAATATCTTCAAATGTCAGTTTAATATGAATAGGGAAACGTTTTTATTCAGATTGCGTTATCCTGCTGGCACTACAAATCATTCGAGTAGCATCTATATTAACTACTCTCTTCGCGAAACTTTGAAAGCTTCAAAGCCAATCATATATATATATATATATATATATACATATGAGTTTTACATGAGTATTACACTCTTACCAATGGTAGATTTTTGGAAAACATATAACATCTTGTTTTATTCGATTTCATTAGTCGTCAAGTTTCTTCATAGATATGGGAGGGGTTGCGTTATTTATATTCCGAAATTGCGATTAGATGCTTCTATCGAAATCATATGAGCGCGATTTGCGCTATTTGCAGTAACTTGAAAACTACGATTACGACTTCCAACTTACATTATCCAGATAAGATAAAGTCGCATTCTTTTCAAATTTTCCGCATTCATTTAATATTTCAGTAGTTAGTATATTTCCAATTAATATTGAAAACTAAGAATTTTTTAAAAATTTTCTTAAAAATATTTTGGAATAGATTGTCAAAATTATCCAATCTAAAGCAATCGTTAACAGGATTCAGTATTGGGCGGCAACTTACCAGAGTACGTCGACTCTCAGTAAAATGCTGTCAAAAATCGTCACTAGTACTAGTGTGTGTAGATATGAAAGGGAAATTATTAGATCGAAAATACAAGTTGATTGTATAAAAATGAAAAAAAAAGTACTGCCCTCGTTAGCTGTTGCTTGTGCGGCAATTTATGAATGCCATTCCGAAAAAAGCTTATCCTCCTTTAAGGCTAACTAGACATCAAGTCATTTTCGTCAATTTTCATAAGAAATAAAGTGCTCTTCAATAAGCGAATGAAAAATTGCTGTCAGCGAGTGTTCTTTATCTGTTCAGAAAAACTTGACATTTTCGTTGCTAGAAAATTTATTTTCATCTTACGATAATGCCTTATACTGCAACTACGTTTTATTATTAGATGTCCAAGCTATAAAAATATGTATGCTCTCTTCATGTGGTAATAGGATTACAAACTACGAACAAACTCAGGTTTCATATTTGCGTACATGGTAAGTTAAGCACAAAATTGCTCAAGCACACGGATAGACGAACAGACATACTTAAATTTATTCGGAAAATTATTTTAAATCAATTTCGCATAATAAAGGATGAGTGCTTCTGGGTATTGCATATCCATATGCTCATGCACATGCATTCCCGCAAAAACTTATTATACTCTATACCACAAGTGTTTCGGTATGGGGCGTAAATATAACATAACATAACATAACATACACATTCGTTCAGAACTATATTTCGACGTTCGTGTAAAACAGCAATAGATTATTCATTAATTCATTAAAACATATGCATAACTTTTATATTTGCAGCAATTTGATGCTATGTGTAAACTCGAAGTGGCCTTTTTTATAACACGCGCTTTTATAAACGTAAGTGTCACTGGCGTAAGGCACGCGCAACACTTCATATTGCATATTAATAATAAACATATTTCGTTGATAAAGGGGGAACAAAATGTTTTTTCTCTTTAGGCTGAGTAATCAGCAGAGAATAAATGTTACATTCATTTAGATACAAGTACGTATCGCAGTGTCGCAGTATAGCCCCTTTCTTCAGTTTGAATAGTGAAATCGGTTAAGCCGTGCTGGGTACTTGTGATATGCCTGCATGCAAAACTCACAATCGTGACCTGAATAATGTCGAAATTCACTGAAATCAACGGCAAAGCTAAACCATCCTCAAAATTGTTTAAGGCTTTAAGTTAAGCTTTTTTCGTCAAATGCCAAGTTCCAGGACCATCTTAATTTATAAAGCAATGGTACATCCACTGTAACCAAAACGCCATATACTAGTTTAAGGAAAAACTTTGTAGCATTAATTCCATCATGTCATAATTTGACAGATGACAATCTGTGAATAGTAAAGAAAGTGATGACATTTTTAAAATGTTTCGAAAACAATAGCGCTTTGAAAATTCTGCAACAATATAACTTTAATCGAGAGGATAGCGTTTTGGAGGTTTGACCAAAAGATTTATTTTAGTTTGATTAATCTGCACAAACCGTGGCAATAATCAAACTAACTTCATGTAAGGAGATGTTTTGTGTTTGGTGTTCCATCGAGGAATTCGATGCCCTACGTTGACCGACTAGTGCGATAAAAGCGTGCAGAATTGATAAACAGGATTGAAAAAGTTTGTCTGCGAAATTCTGATGCATCCACCATACAGGTCGGATCTTGCCCAGTCACACTATCGTTTATGTCCTTCTCTGCCGAAATCTCTTACTGGTGAAAGGCTAACTTGAGAAGAGGCTTGAAAAAATCATTTGACTCACTTATTCGCCCCGAAATCGGAGAAGCGCGTCAGAGCGTGGCTTTACGAGAGAAAGAGCAAAATATTAAAATCCAACAAAATACCGCATAGTTGGCTACTTCGATCAAAACAAGTGAAAACAGTATAGCAGATCACGACCCACCATTAAATATCCCGCAAGCATCCTACAGCCACATGTGTACATATAATGACTTTTTAAAATAAGGCATCGTATGCGAAGTGATCGTAAAAGTGATTTAATTCGAGCCTTTATTAATAACGTGCAGCCTGCAGGTCGCGTTCAAGCAAGCAAGATGGACAAACGGGTAGGGAAGCTTAGATCGATTCATAATCATTTACTGAAACGGTATCTCAAGTCCATCTGACTGTTGTATACATCAGCGTAAACTTAATAAGTCTGTGTACCATAAATGGTGTAGGGTCTAAAAAAAAGACGCAAACTTTTAATTTTACTTAGTGGAAGAAGGGGGAAATATGTAAACGTAGTTTTTAATTTTTTATTTAATCAGTAAATGATTTGAAATACACGTCATTTGGGACGATATTCTATCGATCGATATGATCGGTATGATTGGAATGTGCTTGCATCGAATGATCGGTAGTAATACTATCACTCAGTGCTATGGTACTTGTTAGTTAAGTTAATAAAAACTGCATCAAATCTACTGAGATATATTTAAGATTAATTGACGTAGTCATGCGTTCGTATGTATGATTAAATATTGCTTTTACTTTTCTCTTCTGCTCGAAAGTATTTATCTGACCATTTTAAACGCAATAGCGTTTTGTGCACACAATGTACAAATTTTATCAATTTTGTTAGCATCTAATGAAAGTAACGAAATTCGCATTGGTTGGTTAACGAGGGAGTTAAGCGCTCAAAACAGACCTAAACACAAACATATGCAGGGAAATTGATTGAACAGAGCATCAAATTGATAAAATAAAATTTGAAAAGTTGCACGAACTACGGCGTAGCGCAATAGCGCTCGTACAATGATTGCAATCGCATAATCAAAGCCCTCGATAATAGTGACCGTTTTTCTAATATTCGATGATGTCTTTGTCACCGTCATATTGATGCTTGTTCAGGCTGATTGAACCCATAAATCGATGCGACAAATGATTTTTTATTCTTCGATTCCTTTAAATCCAAAAACGCTCTTCTCCGGCGAAGGCAAACGTAAAAGATTTTTCCGCAAACTTAAGCTATGCAAGTAAACGGCTGAACGATTACGTAAGCCGTTAAGGACAGAAGGCATTCAACTTTGTCATAAGTGCACGTGTGACGATATAAGAAACGACGAAATAAGTAAGAAAAGTCGAGCAAAATTTTGCAAAAGATTTGCGGAATTAATTAGGGATCATTTTTACCTTAATAGGTAAGCCCCGGAAGATATTCTTATTCTTAACATGCTTTAGATCGGTATTTACTACAAGTACGTAGTAGCAGTTTTTCAAATATTTTGGACGTATTTAGCAATTTCAGACGTCCACTTATGCGCTAAGCATTTTGATAGGATTGTTATTAAATATGTGTCCTCTGCGTTCGATTAAATTTTGTTATCTTCGGCAGGCTTGATCAAAGCATATACGCGAAGTAAAAGCTCACGACAGGCGAGTGATAAGGCAGTCGGAATCTCAAGCTAGTTAATTATAGATGGCTGTCTGATGTGTATTAGTGAGTGTAAACAACTCTATTCTGTCTTCGAACTTCAAAAATTGATTTATAGCAGCAGTAAAACTGCTGCCATATAAAGATTAGAATTTTTTTTTTTTTTTTCTAAATATATTAGGCTAACGACTTAGGGGATGCCTCGTAGGCGTACCGGCACGGCTGCGGTCCAAAAGTATTATAGGTAGTGAAGGAAATGCAGTTTCTTAGTTTCCGTATCCTACGTTGAGGGAGAAATATTGGTTGATCCTACGTTACTCAAAATTGTTTAGCAGAAGCGGCCATGGAGGCCCACATGAAAAAGTTAAACTTATCTCTCAGTCTTATATAACTAAGCTGTACACCACTGAAGGCTAATAGCTGCTGTACTCCTTCTTGTTTCTATGTTTTATGCTTGAAAAAAGAAAAGAAGAAAAAGAAAGCCATTTACGGCACTGACAGGCACATTTTATACTCATTCACGTCGCATGCGTTGTGTGTAAAGGAAACATAGTGCATTTATTATATGATGTCTATTCTTTGTTTTTTTTTTGTTTTTTTTTTTTGTTTTTTTTTAAATTTAAGGTTCTTGTCATGTGGGGCGTTTTGCGTTTTTACAATTTGCTGCGCTCTGGCATTACTTGGAGGGGTCCCGAGGTAATAAAACTTATTTATTTTGATAACGAGATTTTTCAACTTGATGCACACAGGCTAAAACCGCTACCACCACATTTACAACGCAACCAATCATATATAATGAATGTCAAAACGGCAATCGTTGTCGCTACAGCTCAAGTTCCGAATCTCTATCTCCGGTGGAATGTTGCGATTTTTTTAATTTCGACAACGCAGACGATGATTATGTTTATGAGGACGATGAAGATTATTATGAACAATATTTTGATAAAGATAACGAATCGAGAGATGGAGAGGACAATGTTTGCTCGATGTATGAAGCCTCTTCAAGTTGTGAACTCAACGATCGTAACTGCGCCCGTCCTTTATTGGCTAACAGCAAACGTTATAAGAAATATAAAATCAATCATATGCAAGCACGTTTGGAAGTTATTAACGAGTCAGAGCATAGCGCTGCTGACAGCGGAAGCGAAGAAAATGATACGTTATTGACGCTTCGCGATAACAGTGCGTCCTTACCGTCCGTTTGACATTGGCCAGATTGCATTAGAAATGCAAAAGAAACCCATCCAAAAATTTATTGTGCCCAATGTGTATTGCACGAACTACGTCTTCATCAGCACTCGCATAACCAATTTTATAGCCAGCATTATAATAAACGCCGTCATCCATTCCGTCATCTTTACTGCTGTGTAAATGTTTTATTAGTGACAATATTGGTAGCGATAGAAATTTATGCACAAATAGTAATTTTTCTTTAAATGTTGTTAAGCTGAAATTTTTAGGGAATAAAAATCACCTCATAGCGCCCATCTTTCGCATCAATTCGTGATCTCTACCATTCGAAAATCTTCACATATCGAGAACAATAGACCAATAACGCGCACTCGTCATAGCAAACGAAGGCCTTAAACGGTTATACACTTGCTTAATATGAAGGTTTGAAATATTAGTTTGGGGAAAAAGAAATCCATTATTTTTACGGTAGATGGCTGCACTGATAGATTTCTCGTAAAGTATCGATCAAACAATTTCAGATTTATGCTCGTTGGAAAGGTGACATTTCGCAGTAAAAAAAATTCGTTTGCTGTTTTTTGTTTGGTGCATTCAGTTGCGTGTTAAAAATGGAAGTGAACAAAGAGAAAATTCGGTACATTTTACAGTTTTTCTTTGACAAAGGCGAAAATGCAAGCCAGGCGGCTAAAATTGTGAATGGTGTTTATGGTTTCGATACTGTAACAGCCAATTATGTGCAATTTTGGTTTCGTAGATTCCGTTCAGGAATTTTTGATGTTAAAGATGCACCTCGCATAAGTAGGCCGGTCGGCGAAAATGTCGATAAAATCGGAGAAATGATCGAAGTTAACCGGCATGTTAGCAGTCGTAACATCGCCCAAGAGCTAAAAATCGACCATAAAACAGTTTTAAACCATTTACACAAAGCTGGATTCAAAAAGAAGCTCGATGTTTGGGTGCCACACCAATTAACGGAAAAAAACATGATGGATCGAATTTCCATCTGCGAAGCCTTGGCCAAACGGAATGAGATAGACCCATTTCTTAAATGGATGGTGACTGGAGATGAGAAATGGATCACATACGATAACCCTGTGCGAAACCGATCGTGGTCAAAGAGCGGTGAAGCACCTCAAACGGCCAGGAAGGTTTTGCTATGCATTTGGTGGGACTGGAAGGAGATTATTTATTATGAGTTGCTTCCATATGGCCAAACGCTAAATTCTGATCTCTACTGTCAACAACTGGACCGTTTGAAGATAGCGATTGACCAGAAACGGCCAGAATTGGCCAACAGGAGAGGTGTCGTGTTCCACCAGGACAACGCTAGGCCACACACATCTACAGTGACTCGCCAGAAACTTCGGGAGCTTGGTTGGCAAGTTTTAATGCACCCGCCATACAGTCCGGACTTGGCACCAAGCGATTATCATCTTTTTCTTGCATTGCAAAATTTCTTTAATGACAAAAATTTGAAATCTAGGGAGGATTGTGAAAATCGACTACTAGAGTTTTTTGCAAGTCGAGACCAGGACTTCTATGAGAGAGGCATTAAGAAGTTACCTTTAAAATGGCAACAAATCATACAACAAAACGGTGCATATTTGACCCAAATCGGACAATTTGAAGCATGTTAAAATAAAGTCCTGAAGTTCATATAAAAATAATGGATTTCTTTTTCCCCAAACTAATATCTTGACCAAGTTTTTGGTATTGGAAAGTTTCGTTTTCAAAAATTCAAAATCTGTATTTTTTAAAAATCTCTCATCATACAATATGTATGTATGTATGTATGTATACACATTTACATATATATATATATGTATATATATATATATATATATATATTTCAGAAATGTGTATATTATATGAATATATATATAAATATATATAGATAATACATATATGTATAGTGTATATTTAAGAGGACAAAAAGCAAATTGATCTAAAATTTCCTTCTATTCTTAGCAATAATTAAGAAATGTAGGTTAAGGATACATGAAGACCCCTTCACTGAATCTTAATTTACTAAAAACTAAAGCAATACGAATTTATTAACATATCCTATGAGTGAACTTTAAATGTAGCATTGCATGTATTTTTATACTCTTCACAGACTGATAATGGGTATATTCATTTTGTCAAAACATTTGCAACACCCAGAAGGAAGCTTCAGAGACCTAATACCTTACATATACATTCTTGATTAGCATCAAATTCTGAATCGGTCTGTCCGTCTGTGCAATGTCTGTTGTAAATATTAAATTAAGTTATCGACTTCAATTATGGCAGAAACATTGGAAGTTCTTGCACGCACGTTGATATTGAAAATGAGCAAAATCTGTCAAAGGACACGCCCACAGTACCACGTAAACTGAGAACACTTCTATTGTTTCAAAGGAATAAAAACTTGGTTTTTCACTCATTACTCATAAACTATAGCAAATAAATGTACAAAAATTTAACGCATTTTCTATAGGCGATGCTGTAGTGTTTGTGCATAAAAATGGAAAAAAATCAACCTCGACTACTCAATATTGCAGTGTATCAAAATGTAATTGTTTTTTCAATACCTTTATAGCGCACAGAAACAAGCTTCAAAAGTCCCATAAAGTATACAAATTCTTGGCCAGTCTCCAATTTCGCATCGAATGCATCTGAACATGTCCGCCTGTCGAACTGTTCGTCTGTCCAACCGTTCCTCTGCGCAACTGTGTAGTATCTGTGGTAAAATGTCTCCCATTAGCGAATATGAAGATATCGCCTACAAATTTGCAAAAGAATTTGGAAGTGACCTAAACTTTTCAAGGGACAGCACTATAACGCCCACCTGCCTATACGACACAAACTTTTCTTTTGAAGACAAGATAAATGAGTCGCGCCCTCCTCATGTTATAGGGTATGAAAATTTAATACCTTTTTTTTTTTTTTGCCTTTCTCAGGATAATAGCGATGGGTATAAAAGATTCGGTCACGACCGAATATAATTTTCTTACTTGTTATTTTTCAAATAGATCTACAACAAGAAAATTGCTTTTATATGACAAAACAGATAATCGGTATTGAAAAATGGCGCATAAGTGAAATAAAGTTGGCGTAGGGTATAAACTACAATGTAAAATGCACCCAAATACATATATATATACATGTATGAGCAAGAATTTTCCATTAGCTAATGAATTTTGCAATGACTGCTTGCGGCTAAGAAAGGTGACGATGTAGTACAACTCTTAAGATATAATTACATTTGCGCTCTCTGTCCCTCATTCTCACATTGAATATTTTGTCATGGTATGATATAAGCAAAAGCGACCACAACTGAGTGAATGTATAATCTTGATTTGCGCAAGTTTATGAGTTGAAACGATTTAATCATGTCCGTCCGCTCATGCTTCCATCTATTATTCAAAGAGGAAAATATTATAAGGATTCACTTATAATATTGACGTTTTACACGTACAGTCTTAGTTTAATTGCTCGGATCAAGGTTTAAAAAGGTAATGGTTTAAGGTAATGAGGTCACAATTTTGCTGATAATAAGCAAAAAAAAAAAAAATTAATAAATAAATACTCGATAAGGCACACACACACACACAGACACCACAGATAAATGAAAACTATATTTATAAGAGTTAATGTAAACATATTTCCAATGAACATCTTATATTCAGAATTGGACAATTGACACGCCCACGGCCTGTTTGAAGTGATCGTCGTCTGAAATCGACTATAATGTTGACATAGATTTCATAGCTATTTTAGGTGCTTACATGCTTCAAGACTATGAGGGATTTATGGAAATGCCTCAACTTCAGGAGTAAATTTTGTAAATCGTAACAGCTGCGCAAAAATTAAGATAGGAATTTCCATTTTGGCGTTCACATCTCTTGATCGATAGGAAATACGAAATTAAACAGTGAGCCCCATCTGTACACAGAGACGTCTACAACGCTTGGCAAACTAAAACAATCTCCGGAAACACAGAAAACATTTTTTTTTATTTTCGTCCTATAAGTTTCGATCCTATGAAGATATTTTCGAAAAATCTGAACGAAATGTTCACTGAAAAGATGGGGGAAAAATTTGGAAATGAACTGAAATTAAAATTTTACCGCTATTTGGGGACTTACTACCAAGTAAATCGTTGGAAAGAATTTTTGCACCGAATATTCAAATGGTTTTTAGCAATTTTGGTTTTAGCAGCGATTTGGGAAATTCATCGTCAAGTCTTTGTTCCTCAGACAAACTTATATGTATATACAGATGCCATACGAAATCTTTTTCACTAATAAAAACAACAACGATTTTTAAAGCATAGAAATGCGAAATGTAATTTGTGTTAAACATATATCTCTTCTTCTTCTTCTTCTTCTTATTTTTCTTCTTAGTTTACTTCTTTTGCAAAGCAAAATCGATTTGTTTATCTACTTCTAGAAGTGCGCTCCCTACATTTTCAGTGTAAGACTTTTTTTACTTTTGAAACTTTGTACTTGCAATTCATTCTTTCTTCTTATCATTTTTCATCTTTTGAAAATTCTTCTTCGATTAAATCCAAGTGTCAATTAATTCGGTGTCACGGTTCGTTTACAATCTATTGAAGTTCATTCCTTACAATGATGTGTTATTTCTATAACAATCTTTTCATAATATTATTAAATTCTCTTCTTCGGACATGTTCAGTCTCAACCTTGTTTAGTAGGTTTGCGCTACGTTACATTACAAGAACAATGCAATTTTGCTATCAAACGTATTTACATTTGAACAATGCTGTCATAAATGATCTGTTAACCGACAAGTATGAAATACAATCATTACACTTGTAATGAAAAAAACTGCTAAAGATTATTATCTTTCTACTCATGGCAGATTCCATATACCGTATAGCATGTTAAAGGAGATTAAGGAAACCGTAAGATATCCTTACAAGAAGTATCTCATGCTTGCCGTTCATGTTTAGTTAACTTTAACTGTTTATATCGTTGTCATGGCCAAGTATTGGATCCCATTGCTAACATTATACATGAGCTTTACGTGGACTCTATTGTCAACTCAATTTTTATATCGCGCATCACTTATGGTGCAAGTAATACAAAGTTTAGGCGGATATTTGAGTCACTCGAATGGATCTATTTTTTATTATATCAAACGATTCAGAATCAAATTTAAGCAGATCTATGCCTCCTACCTAATGTCTGTTCATTTAAGATGTTTTAATAAAATTTCTCAAATCGATATATTTTATAGGAACGATATTGAAAATGGATTGAATCGAGTCATTTGCACGGCCGACCAACTCCAACCATAGAAACTCCTTACTGGACGGCGACAAGAACGAAGTTCGGCTTTTTTTGAAATGTTTCGACAAAACTCGATGAAAATTCGTGTTTTGCGCTTATTAACAGAAATTGAAAAATTTCGATACGAAACGTTAATCCTCTCCTAGCCACCTCCGATATAAATACTTTTTAGTAGTTTATAATGAAAATTGATGTAAAATTCTTGATTCTTCAACCATACATTCACTGTGAGAGATTCGGCCTACGTAGGCATATATATTTCGGACGCCTCTCGGAAGGATTAGGGATTTTATATTTTTGTCTACTGTATTAAGCGAAATAGTGTAGGGTATTTAATTGGCAATCTCGCCTGACTATAACGTTTTATTTTTTTCTTATTGAAGAAAGAACCCATTCGCGTCCAGGTTTTAAAAAAGTAATAAATTTCTTTCTTGTTTTTTTTGTTTTTTTTTTTTGGCTTATTTTACTCCTTTATGCTTTATCGCACTTTTCAACCCGCGCCATTGACTGATTTAATGTAAAAAACGTACTGGAAACATAAAGCACGTAGGTTTTTTAGAAATTTTTAAGTACTTTTCTTGTCACATTCGCTATCTGTCGTCGCCAGCCATTTGCTACAAAATTTGTAAACTCTTGTATGCTATGCGTGTACGCTTTAATTTCATATAAAAATCATCTATCGATTGCTGCGTATAGATGCAGATTGGGTAGGCAAACAAGCATAAACCATTTTTGGTCTTTGATACACGCCCATATTGCATTATACATATGTCATAGGATCCGTCATTTTTCAAATTTACTCATTTTTTCTTTCTTTTATTTTTATGCAACCATTTCAAATCACTATAAGCGCACATACGCTAAATAACTAGATTTAAATGCTCTAAGTGATTTTATAAAAAAAAAATAAAAAATAAAAAATAAAAAAAAAAAAAAAATTAAAAAAAAAAAATAAGAAAAACATATCAAAGATTATATTATATAATATATACATAATATATAAATGTGCTTATCTATGTATGTATGTATGTATGTATGTATGTATGTATGTATGTGAAAATAAAATTTTATTGTCAACATATTGATTGTTAAATAAAAATCTGAGAACATTTCTTCATTTTATTCACATATTCTATGAGTTTTATATATCTTCCATTACCGAACGATAGGCAGAATTGTCATTGCGTTAGATATATTCGGAAACAATGCATCACTACTGCTCCCTACAGTAAATGTGTATTTGTAATTAAGATGATATGTTCTCTCTTTGATCGCCCAATATTAAGGAGTCGCAACAAGTTGCGATAGAAAATTAAAGTTTAACAAAGTGCTACGTAATTGTCAAGTTTCGAAAAAAAATGTAGACGTCAACGACCTCAAACGAACATGCCCGCAATATGTACATAAATGAAAAATGAAAAATTTTATCTCAACATTTACGTGAACAATTAATGAAACAGTTTTGCTGTCCTGACAGCGATGGCTGTACAATATTCATTTTAGGCTGGGTTGCGATTTGTTTTAATTACTGCATGAGAACAAAACTAAAGAAAACAGTGAAGCGGAGAAGCGTCCTTAAAAGCTCAACTCTTTTCAGCATAACTGAAATATATTTGTGAATCAAAGTAAAGGTTTGTATATGTATAACGGGAACTGAAGCATCAACCCTGGTTGCTATTAATCATAAGAAAATAATTTCAATGGTACCGAGTGCGTGCGAGAAGCTAAAGCCTGCCATATAAAAACATGAATGTTCGCTTGGACCGGAGAAAGTACTCGTATAAAATGAACGATCAAATAACCAGACAAGATCCTCAACGATATACCTTACATCGGTTCTTCTAACAATTCCTCATCTATTTTCCAGATTAAATATCAGAAATTATCTCTCTTTGACAAACACGTATTGTCCATGAGAATCTTCATATGGAGAGGAGTACGAAAAGTAGATTTATGTAACTCTAACTAGCCACAGTACGCTATATTGCCTCTCATAAAGTAACACGAATTCTCAGACTACTTTTTAAAAACATTTATTTCTCCATTAATTTGGTCTGCCAAAGTATTACTTTTCAGCGGTTTATATCGCCGAGATAAATATATCTCATGTTACGATCATGGTTTTCGCTAACTAGAATTTTATATGGGGAATAGTCGACCTGTTAGTACAATAAATTTCATCGAAATATGTCTTATGCACAGCTCTAGACGATGGATAGACATCAGACAGACAGACGGACAGGCTTGAGTCGAAAAATGAATACATGAATGAATACATTAATAAATTTCATTTATTCCTCTAATATATTATTATTATTATAATTTATTTAGATCGAAGAAATAAATTCCAAAACTAAAAAGTAAGATGAGCACTAGCAACTAAGATCATCGGCTCGGGTCATAATTAATTTTTGGCAAAACGCTTGCAACGCCCAGAATCAAGCATCAGAGACCCCACAAAGTGTACATATTCTTGATTAGCATCAAACCTACATTGATGTTAAGTTCTCCAGGTACTTGCAGGATGTCCATGGAGACGCTTAGGTCAGACGCTTCAAATAGTGAAAAGGTTTCCGCATTCACGAAATATATATTTGATCGTAGGATTTTGTTCACAAATGCAAATTGGAGGGAAAGATTTCTTAAGAATCAAGAGTCGATCTGTTGCAATGGTACGTGAAGGTGGAACGAGATTAGGATTAACATGAAAAATATCTTCCTCTCTATCCCTCTGTAGAGAATTTAAAATCAAAATGTGTTGAAGCATTTGACAAACAGAAAATTCAAAAATTTCTCATCTTGAGTTTATATAAACACTGGAACGAAAGCAAAGTACATTCGCTACGTTATCTTTGGAGTTTGTTTTTTTTTTTGTGCACTTGCATATAGATGTATGTACAGCAAAGCGTAGATAGCTTACAAAACACACGAATGCTTTCGTAATGCTTTCATTTTATAAACAGATGACACAGTGTGATATCGAAATCGAGAAACCTTTAATAAAATTTTCGCCCATATATATAATGGGAATGCACGAACAAGCAATTAGATGGCTATTAGTTGAACATCGCTACTTCGGTTATGTTAACAGAAGCATAAAGTACTTTAATAATACTCTTGAGCACTCTCTCTCTCGACCTATCTATCTATCTATCTATCTATCTATCTATCTATCTATCTATATATCTATCTATCTATCTATCTTTCTCCCTCTCTCTCTCTCTCTCTCTCTCTCTCTCTCTCTCTCTCTCTCTCTCTCTCTCTCTCTCTCTCTCTCTATCTATCTATCTATCTATCTATCTCTCTCTCTCTCTCTCTCTCT